GAAAAGTACAAATGGAAATGCCACTTCCAGTTTCATATTTGGGGTTGATGGCTTTCAGTTCTTCAAAGCCCCAACAAGCATGGGCAATGGTCAGGGATTAAATAAATCACTCAAATAAATATTTCCCTTCTTGTTTCCTAAACTGAAATGTTTCCATTATACAGACTTGATTCCACGTCTCTCTGTTTTTTCAGTATGCAAAATAAATGTCCATATACGATGTGAAGCCAACGTTGCACCCAATTGCGGGGTGAACGCTGCAGAACTGGCCAAGACGTTAGCATGCATGGGGCTGCAACCAGGAAATATATCTCCAAATGGGGTAAGCTTTCGTTTTCTCTTCTTTGACCCCACTTCTCCACATCAGCAAAGTCTATATTTTCCTTCACATTGTAGGAGTTTGAACTTGATGCCACAATGCACAGAAGCACATAGAACTAACCTATAGTCACACTTGTCATTTTCTTGGCAAGATTTGTTCAGAAGATTTGCCATTGCCTTCCTCTGAAGTTGACAGTGTGTGACTTGCCCAAAGCCACTAGTGGGTTTCATGATTGAGTGGCGATCCAAACCTGTTCTCTGTCATCATAGTCCAATATTCAAACCACTGCACCATGCTTGCTCCTATTGATTAATTGATTAGGGGCAGGTTGCTGAAATTTATTAGGAGCAGGTTGCTGAAATTAAAAAAAAAACCTTTAGCATGTATCGAAAGCGTGTCAGGGATTTGATGGTGGAGCAGTCACTAAACTGAATACCCAGAGGACAAATAGGTCAGTAAAGAAGATGATGGCACAACAGCAAACACAGACCAAAATACTCCATTTAGCACAAGGCAAATTGGTACATATCCTGTCTTGACAGCAGTGGGAACAATGAGAGTGGTTCCTTATGGATTCAGCAAGAGCAAAATCTGTTCTTTATCTAATTTCCCTTTTCTGTTTTCAGAAATTGGTCTCCAAGTCAACCCTGAGGCGCCAGAAAAAAGAGAGCATGAAGGATCGCAATGGTGTACCTGAGGTTTCGGCGAGCAAGCTCAAGATTGAGGACTTAATATTTATCAGAGTTCTGGGAAAAGGCAGTTTTGGAAAGGTAAGGGTTGCTGTGGATATTTGGAACACTTGTGTGCACTTCAGTAGCCAAGTTCTTTGGAGCTGATTCAGTTGAACTCTCCTTCATTTCAACTGGTTTTGCATGGGAGGAAGGAAAGGTAAGTTGTATCCACTTGCCCAAGTATTGTGCTTGATTACTATAAGCTGACACTGCTCAATGTGTTTTAGCAATGATTTAGGTGACAGGGTGAAGGGAACCCTTATCAAATTTGCAGATTATATAAAACTGGGAGGGACAGCTAACATATTGGATCGAAGGAATAGAATTTGAAACCACTTTGAGATACTAGAAATATGGATTTAAATTAATAAAATGAAGTTCGACAGAATCAAATGCAAAATTGTGCTTTTATGGCATAAAAACCGAATGAGGAGGCGCAGGATAAGGGATACTTAGGTCAACAGTACAATATAATGTTTATCTTTTTCACTGCCATGAGAGGAAACAAATGTTTCTACAGAGGTCTTGTTTGGTGTTTACATATTTCATAATATTTGGAGGAAAATATTCCAAGCATATATCTTTTATATCTTTAGTTTTAGTTATAAAACACTTTTTCAGAATTCTGACTTATGTGTACTGTATCACTATACTTACAAAGCGAAAACTCTATGCTGACTTACCCTTTGAATGTCTTAACGTGCATGCAGTCTGGTCAGAGTTGTCATTATTACAACATTGCCATGATGCTTCAAATCACTTGGTTCTGATGTATTGTCAAAGGCTTTCATGGCTGGAATCACTGGGTTGTAGGAAAATTGGAATTTTGTTCATATGTAAATCTCACTTACCTCACAACCTCAGAGGATGCCTGATATAGATGCAGGCAAAACATCAGGAGAGAATGCTTCTAGAACATGGCCATATCGCCCAAACACACACACAACAACTCAGTAAAGAAATTGGTTTCCAGGTGAAAGACAGACCTAGTTAGGGTTGGCTTGATGCACCTTCCTCTTGGCAAGTTTCTCCCTTTTGCCCTCCATTCATGTTTCTTTGAAATCTGCAGCACTGCTGGTCATATCTGACCTCCGGTTAGGGCGCCCAAGGGCCAGGACTTCCTCACTTGGTTTCGTCTGTATGCATTATATGCATATGCTGTTATTTTATTCTGGCTGGGTTTTTTATAGTCACCAATTTTGTCAATTTTTTTGATATTTTGGCTACAATATTATGGTATGGTTTAATATGGGAGGAGTCGGGTGCCTCTAGTATATTTAGTAGACCCCTTTATAAAAGTGTTGCTTCCTCTCCTCTTTAGGTGATGTTGGCCAAAACAAAAGGGACAGGATATCTCTATGCCATCAAAGTGCTGAAAAAAGATGTGATTCTCCAGGATGACGATGTGGAGTGCACCCTGACCGAGAAACGGATCCTGACCCTGGCGAGGAACCATCCATTTCTCACCCAGCTTTTCTGCTGCTTCCAGACACCTGTAAGTATTGTTAATTTTGAACTGGGAAACCTATACAGTTCCAAAACCAAGGTAGAAAGATATTTCTTCTTCCCTTAGAACAGGCATGTTATAAGCAGAGAGTTTAGCAATATTTGTGTTTGCACAAATGTGTTGATGTTCAATGTATTGTCGAAGGCTTTCATGGCCGGAATCACAGGGTTGTTTTAGGTTTTTTGGGCTGTATGGCCATATTCTTGAAGCATTCTATTCTGACGTTTTGCCTGCATCTATGGCAGGCATCCTCAGAATGCTGTGGGCTTTATTTCATCAGAAATGACAAAACACTATTCCTTTCCTAAGAAATCTCTATGAAAGTCATGGGGTCACATAAGCCAACTGTACGTGGGGCTGCCTCTGAAGACTGCCCGGAAGCTTCAACTATCCAATGGTTGGAAACCAGATTGCTCACTGGAGCGCCGTACAGGGAGCACACAACCTCTCTGTTACTCCAGCTCCACTGGCTGCTGATCAGCTTCTGAGCACAATTCAAAGTGCTGGTTTTAACCTTTAAAGCCCTAAATGGTTCTGGCCCAGACTACCTGTCTGAACGTATCTCCTGTTACGAACCATCACGAAATTTAAGATCATCTGGAGAGGCCCTGCTCTCAATCCCACCACCATTGCAAACGCAACTGGTGGGGACCAGGAACAGGGCCTTCTCAGCAGTGGCTCCCCATCTGTGGAATTCCCTCCCCAGGGACATCAGATTGGCCACCTTCCTCCTGTCTTTTAGGAGGAAACTTAAGACTTGGCTATGAGATCAAGCGTTCAACCATTGAAAAGCAGCAAGTGAAAGAAGACTTAAGACAATGAATTGACTCAGACTTGGATTTTGGATTCTGATATTAGCAGGCGTGTTTTAATCAATTGTTTTAATTACTGTTTTTAATATTTTAATGTATTATCATAGAATCATAGAATCTTGGGTTGGAAGAGACCTCATGGGCCATCCAGTCCAACCCCCTGCCAAGAAGCAGGAATATTGCATTCAAATCA